AGAAAGGCGTCCTCAACAGTAGCATCGGTGCGTGCAATCAGGCAAACAAAAGAGCAATCTACCAGAGGCGAACCTCGCTGGTCCGGGCCAACCTACGGGCTGTCGCCGGATGCAAATCCGACAATAATCTAAGTACCGGAGCCCAAACGCGCTGAGAACAGAGCAAAAGGCTACCCTGAAAGAAGGATAGCAGAGATTTGGAGAATGTGACGGCACCTCCAATGGCAAAGGCCTCGCTCGGCTATGCTAGATTTCACCAGGAATCAATCCAAATGATCAAAGACTATATAAAATAGAATAGCATTCCGACTAGGAATTAATCCTGGGAACCGTTCTCTGGCAAACGAACGGGTTCTAAAGGAAAAGGGGCGAACTACGACGGGATGGGGGAGCCGGGATTCGGGAACCAACAACGACCGGGTGAAGACCTGCCTCCGCGCGGTGGTCGCCGCAGCGACATACCCGACGTTACTCCATAGTCATTGTTCCTCTTGTTCAATGCAACGACACAATGCCCTAGCTTAACAAAAGCATTAGAAAGATACTACCACCGTTCTAAATTACAAGACATTTTAACTTTCTCATACACATTGATTTTACTTTGTATCTAAACATAATGTATATATAAGTATATAGCAAAATCTATGTATATAGAAAAGCTAAAACGTCTTATAATTTAGAATAGATGGAGTATAACCTAAATGATAGAAACAGTTCACCAATAAATATAAATGATAGCAATAAACCAAAAGTAAACAACTAAAATGGAAAGTAATAATCATAAAATGTAAGTTGTGTTGCTGCTGTATTTGTGACTTCCCTAAAGCAATAAATGGCTGTAGAAGTAAAGCCATGATATCATTTTATTTAAGGGTCTGTTCGGCAAGACTGAAAAATAAGCCAAAATACTGTTCTGTCTGATTACTGTAGAGAAAAATACTGTTTTGTCTAAAACACTGTTCACGTAAACAGTGCCGAAGTGACGTGCGCTGGCCAGCCCAGCCCCAGCCGGCCGAACGCGCCCTAAAAACACACACACAAATGACCAAAAGGAAAATTCATTCTAGGATAAAGAGCATAAACTCTGAATATCCTTCACAGAAAGAAAAGTCCGTTATTCTTTCTTGAGGTTTTTTTGGAGATTCTTTAATCAGAACAAAACTTTGAACGTTTTACTCAGAATAAAAGTGGAATTGTCTTGAAATTTGGCAGTAACCAGATAACCCACCGTCTTGCAGCCCAAAATTCAGATTCCCGGATAGGAAATTTTGTTTTCCAGGTTACCCAGTTACTATTTTACTCAGAGAGTACTCTTTAGCCTATTGTCCTTTATGATCATTGACTCATCGTCGAAGTCACTGTGAATGGCTACCATGGGTCTGGTAGATTTCCTGGCTTATTGCTAGCCTGGCTAGCTTTCAAGCCTGGACAACTTTAGCCTGCCCTCAGCAAACCAACTCCTAGATGTTTGGTTACCTATATGGTCTAAGTCTGGCTAGCAAATGGCGTGTTTGGTTACCTGGTTTATTTTGCATAGAATCACCTCTCTTCCTGGGGGTAAGTTTACTCTGTGAAACATTTCGTCGAACACGTGGTGGGTGTGCCTCGGCGAGCACCTCGGCGTGCGCATGTGGGTACTCCTGCGATCCTCTTGCTGCTGCTCGTCTTCATCAGGGAACCTCTTCCACCGTCAGAGGGTCTCCACAGCAGCACACGCAAAAAGAACATGGCTGACTGAGCACAGCGAGCACCTCCACCACCTGGCTCACGAGCACCTCCATGGGCGTGACTGAGCACAGCGAGCACCTCCACCACATGGCTGATGAGCACCTCCACCACCTGGCTGACGAGCACGGCAAGCACCTCCTCTCTTCCATGGCTGATGAGCACGGCGAGCACCTGGGCGAGCACCTCCTCCACCGCCGGCGCCGGCTACCGCTCGCCCAGGACCCGATTGGAGAAATCTGAGGCCGGAGGCTCACCTCCTGAACTGGATCGTGCCGGTCCTCGTCGCCCTCGACCGTACGGCGCCGACGGAAGCGCAGGTGAGTAGAAGGCCGCCAGAGGCTGTGCGCACGCGGCGGCGGCGAGGCCGGTCAGCAGCACGCACGTGACGTGCAGCGGCGTTACCTACGCAGGGCCGGAGATGCAGCGCCAGCGACGACTTCAGTGGAAACGAATCCCCACCGAGAGGTGAGCCGAGCGTGGGCGCTGGCCTGGCTCTGAAAAAACGGATTCCCATTGCGTTCCCAGCGAGCCAGGCTACGAGCTGGTGGCTTGGTGAAGCCTGGCTGCTAAGAGGTCTAAACATGAAACCAAACACTTCAAGGTGGCTATCTAGAAGGTTAGCCACCCAACCAATAAGGTCTAATGTGAACTCCCATGGATAAAATGGTTTCACATGTTATGATCTCGTTATGACCATATATGGCAACCTTAAGGAGGTTCCTTTCATCTGCTTATATTTTATGGGTTGAATACTTATTGTTACCACATGAATTTGCAAATCACAAACGAAGAGGTATACTGCAGTTCTTATCAGACATCACCCTGCAAAGAAATAATACACATAAGATACTGACTTTTAGTTTAGGATATCAGAATAAGTTATAGACATGAGGCAGGGATTATTATTCATGACATTAGCATTGAAATTTCTAATGACGCGTGGTAGGTATCATATAAGCACCTCGAATAAGAAAACTTAAGAACCATTTCATTAACAAAGACCACTTGAATGAAGTATGCATCTTTCATTTGCTAATTACTTAAGTGTCATGGCGTTAGTTAAAATAGCGCAGAACCTTTTTTTGGCACTGCTACATAGCTCAAAATTAGAAAAAATGCAGGTATTTCAATGTACAACTTAAAAACATTGTACAAGAAAAATGAACCTCATAGTATTCATGCAAACATACCTGGGGGCAGGAGATTGCTGTAGTAACCACCAAGTCTACTTATTCCATCAGCAGAACTTAAAGAAATCAGTTACCAGAAGTGAAAAATGGCACCTAGTTTCATGAAAATTCAACAATGTACTTGATTACGTATGTAACTGAACATATCTTAAGGTCCATCAAATGATTGACCCATACACTTTTCTTCTGCGATTATGGGTGTGTATGCAGTTTGCTGCTCAGCATTAAACAATCACATGATACTCTACTACTTGTTATTGTCAAGTATTCCAGCAAATATCTAATATTTGAAAGAGTTAAATACACAGGCTATCCATGAAATTGTCACGGTGTACCACTTAGGTTCACAGACTGCCAGAATGCATTTATGGAATAAGTTGTTCACAGTACATCCCCAGGACCTAAGCGGTAACCATAAAACATGCATAGATAACAGATTACACAAAAGATTATCCCAAGCATGACATCCTGGGCATACATAAGCTTCTAGGGACTGAAGAACAAACTCTTACTTCCACTAGGAAGGGAACTTTTCATTGAGCTCTTGATTCTCCCTATACATGGATTACATCTTGTGGTTTTGCTCCTGTAGCATTCTTCGCATCTCCTAAAGAAGCTCCATGTGCCTGTCACTGTCTAGCATGCAAAGAACAATGGAAGTAAAAATGGGCCATTTTGCAATCGTGACACGAATGTAAACTACCTGTGCATACTGATGCATCTGGACTAGAAGGATACACTAAATGATGCCCATGCAGATCAACAAATACTGTCAAGCCTAAAAATGTGAGGAGCAAAGGCTGTAGCAAGTAGCTCACTTGAAGCTGCATGAACACAGGGGTCACTTCGCCAGCGGGGGTTAGCACGATCCTTCACCACCATGGTTGTTGTCCTCATAATCCAGAGGTTTGAGCAATCAAATTGCCCAAATGGAACAGCAGACGCTGTGATGAGAGGATATCAATGGAGTGTGGAATGATGGAACCCAAGGGCAAATCCAGACCAGATGACCACTGGGTTCTTCTCTGAGAATGGGTGGGGTCATTAGGAACTATTAGCACTATATACAGCAATTTTCCATTGGAATTCTCAAAATTCGCCGGGGGCAGTTGACCCCAATGAAGCCATAGCTCTGACCCTTATGGAACCGTGTTTTCTTATCGTGGAGACAATAGGACGAGAATCCTTGTGAAATCTTCCTTTGACCCACAGACTTGGCAGATTTCTTTTCCCTCACAAATCAGAGTGTTTTGCTGAATGGAAATGGCCATACAACCTCTATGTCTGAGTGACTGAGTTGTACAACTAGTATTATTGTGTAAGCCTAGTGTGACTCTAATCCCTGCTTTGAACCATTTGTTCAACTGAATCATACAGTTGTTCATCCTTTGTCCATGTTCCAAGATTGCAGTAAAGCAGTGGAGAAAGTGCAACATGCTGAGTTGCGCGTTCCCCCATGCTTTTGGTTTTGGACGTAGGCTGTGAGGAGAAAACACAGAACTGTGTGCATCTCAACTATCGCTTCATCTGCAGATGCTTAGTTTGGCGTTCCAGAACAGGAAAAAGAATGTGTGGTCCCGGCGATTCTCCCTGGTTGTAGAGCTATATGCTACGACTCCATTGATATATAGGTAAGTGGATGCTGTAAGAAAGAAAGAGGCAGACCTGGCCAACTATGTGTTTGCATCAAAAGATTGTTTAAGAGAACCGTTTAGTACTTCAGTTGACTGGAGGAAACTTATTTCAGCATTTCAACATGTCATCTCTTTATCCTTTTGTCTACTAGTGAATCAAAGGATTGTTGAGGTCCGATTTGAATGAACATGACAACTGCTCTTCTTTTATGTTGGTTCTTTCCAGTCAACTAAACCAAAATCAGCACAAGGTTCAGAGAACTGTTTGTTTTGCATCAAAGGATGTTTGAGGCTCTTTCTCTGGTGAATCAAAAGATTGGACCAAGTTTACTTGTACACAACTGATATTCAATCTGCTGGTTCTCTGCAGCCAACTGGACCAAAAAATCGGCACTAGGAGAGTGAACTGTCCAAGCTACAGAGTGGACATTTGTGCCTCAACGGACAATCACCAGTAATCTCCACAAGAACAGGCTCCGTCTTTGAAATGGTGGAACCTCTTCGCATCTCTAACAACAATCTCTCTATCCACAATCTTCGAGATATATTTGATGGCATCATGGCAATCACCGCAGACCCTGAGGTTCTTGATGATCACGAGTCTCGTTCCAGGGCTGGTGTTCAGCAAACCAAAGGCGATGGCCAGCCTCTCACTGTGGTAGCTGAGAAGCTGCTCTTTCACGTCTTCATCCAGGTCGTGGTACACAAACTCTGTTCTTGGAACATAGCCCATCTTCCTCATCTCAGAACTGAGCTTTGAGACCATTTTCAGGATCTCCTGATGCTGAGGGTGGCTCTGGTCTTCCATCACAAATGCGTGACGTGTTCCATGGACCTCTATCAAGCTGTAGCCAGGCACTTTCTTGCTGCCACTATCCTTCATTATCTTTCTGATTTCCCTGACCTTGTCCCACTTCTTTGCAGCAGCATAGAGATTCGATACCAGTGCAAGGACACCAATGTCTTCAGGTTGCGACTCAAGGATCTTTTTCGCTATGGTTTCCCCAAGCTCTAGCTTCTTATTATTCAAGCAACCTGAAAGCAGAGCGACCCAAATTGCAATGGTCGGTTCAGTTTGCATTGATGCAAGCATTTCATTGGCTTCTTCCACAAGACCAGAACGTGCTAAGAGATCAACTATACATACATAGTGCTTTTCTGCAGGTTCAATTCCAAACTCCTTAATCATGCGATCAAACCAGAATTTCCCTTCCTCCACAAGACCAGAGTGGCTCAGAGCCGACAAAAGAGAAGCAAATGTTGCATGACTAGGCTTTATTCCGGTTTCGTTCAGTTCTTGGAACAGAGCAAGGGCATCATGACCACATCCATGAGTGCCACAGCATGCAATCATCGCATTCCACAAAACCAAGTCTCTTGAGGGAAGCTCATTGAAAAGCTTTCGGGCACTTTCCAGGGAGCCGCATTTGGAGTACATGTCAAGGACAGCTGTACCCAAAATACATTGAAACTTAAGCCTCCTCAAGATGAAACCATGTATCGACTTCCCTAGCTTCAGGAACCCCACACCAGCGCAAGCAAGCAGTGCACTAACAAGTGCCCCTGAATCAGGCTGAAGCCCTGAAGTCGAGATCCCTCTGAACAAATCAAGTGCCTCATCTGCACGGCCATTCTGTGCAAACCCAGAAATCAGCGCGCTCCATGAGACAGCATTCCTGTACGGCATCATTCTAAACACTTGGCGTGCCACATCAAAATGCCCGTTCTTGGCATACATGTCCACAAGGCTTGTGGCAGTAACAACATCCATCCTCATACCATGCCGCAAGAGATGGCCATGAACAGAGGCCCCCATTCGGATGTTCCCAGTTGACGTGCATGCCTGTATAACCCCAACCATGACCACCTCATCCTCCACCACGCCATGCTCCCTCATCCTACTGTACATCCCAAGCGCCTCCACCGACCTCCCAGCGCTCACGAACCCAGCAACCATCGTACTCCAAGCGACGCGGTCCTTCCTAGGCATCCCATCGAACACCCTGATGGCGTCTCCCATGGCGCCGCATCTCGAGTAGACGTGGAGCAGCGCCGAGCAGACGAACACGTCGCGACCATACCCGGCCGCGAATGCGCGGAGCCTGACGGCCTCGGCGGCGTCGAGGTCCCCGAGGCGCGCGCACGCGGTGAGCGCGAGCGTGAAGGTGGTGCTGTCGGGCCGCGCGGAGGGAGGGAGCGCGCGAAAGACGCGGAGCGCGGCGCCGGGTGCGCCGGCGCGGGAGTGCCCGGAGAGGAGCGCGTTCCAGGCGGCTATGCAGGAAGGGGAGGAGGAGGGGGAGGCGGCGAGCGTGGACTCCGCAGCGTCGAGCGCGCCGGCGCGGGCGTAGGCGGCGGCGAGCGAGGAGAGGAGGTGCTGGGAGGAGGAAACGACGAGGAGCGCGTGTAGGCGGGTGAGCGTCGCGACCGTGGTGCGAGAGGAGGAGAGCACGCGGCGGAGGCGGCGCTGATCGGCGAGGAAGGCGGGAAGGTGCATTCGCATTTGGAGCGGCAAGGGAAGGGAAGGGGGTCGAGGATGGAATCTCCGGCCAGGAACAGCCTAGTAATTGTGGTAGTAGGCCATTTGGACTTTTGGAGACTGGAGAGCGGTGAGACCCAAATTGGGCCCAATAGAGAAATCAATCGGCTCAAACTGCTAAAGCCCAAAGGTCAGAGGTACAAGCAGAATGACGACTCATAAAAAAAAAGCTTAAGTTGCTGTTCAATGTTAGCATCAGTGAACAGTGAGCCTCAGTACTGGTAGGATAATTTCTTGACAAGGGCCTTGTTCACTTTGCAAATTTTTTGAACCCGATAAATAGTACCACTTTCGTCTTATTTGGCAAATATTGTCCAATCGTGGACCAACTAGACTCAAAAGATTCATCTCGTGATTTCCAACTAAACTGTGTAATTAGTTATTTTTTTTACCTACATTTAATACTCCATACAAACGATAAAAAATTCTTGATGGAGATTCGTGTTTGGCTTTAGATGGCATCTAAACAAGGCCAGGACTTGTTTGGGCTCTGGCTGGTGCGGTTGATTTATTGTGAGAAAAAAATACTATTCTATGGCTAAAAAATAGAGCTGATTTTTGGTTGATAAGCTCAAGCGAACATGATTGTCTTGTTCAGCTCCTCTGCCTACCATTGCTCAGTTTGAAGGTACAGGCGTGCAGCAAAAGTGCCCTCTAAGCTAAGACTCCACCGATTTCACTCGGCTTTACTGTCCCGTGCAATCAATCACTTAGCGTCCAAGAAAATTAACCATCGCTGGTTCTAACCCCTGAATTAGCCCCAAAAAACAAACATTCCAAGTCATCAGTCCAGACATGACTTGCAGGCAGCTATACTAAGAGGGTGTTTGGATCTAGTGACTAAAATTTAAAATGTGTTATATAAAGGTGTCGCATGGGGTGTTCGGATACTAATAAATAAATAAATTTTAAAATCCGTCAATAATACACGAGACGAATTTATTAAGCATAATTAATTCGTCATTAGCACATGTTTACGGTAGCACCACATTGTCAAATCATGGACTAATTAGGCTTAAAAATTCGGTCTCACAAATTAGTCGTAAACTATGCAATTAATTTTATAATTAATCTATATTTAATACTTATACATGTGTTAAGCATCCGATGAGACAACGATTAAAGTTTAAGAAGAAAAACCAAACACCTCCTAAGAGTCTGGATTACGATCATCTAAAGACTAGAAAACTCATGTAGGTTAGCTTTGACTACTAGTCTACTATACTATTATTACTCCATTTCAAACTATAAATCATTTTGGCTTTTCTAAATTAATAACTTTCCCTACATAGATGTAGCATAGAAAAACCAAAAACACTTAAACTTTGAAACTACTATTCTATTATCCCTATATAGGACAGTCCTGTAGTACTAAGCAAGTTGCTGTTCACTTCACTTGTCCGGCACATGGCGAGGAGGCAGCAGCCTTGGGAACGAGAAGCTGTCCTGCAGGACGTCGCGTGGCGCCGCCGTCTCTACGACGTCCACGCGCACCTCCGCGCGCTCGGTGTCGAGGCTCCGCTGCTTCGCCGGCGGTATCAGGTGCCTGGTCTGCGACGACGACAGCGGCTCGGTGTCGTCCGTGTCGCTGTAGTCCGAGTCCGACAGCGGGCTCCTAGTCGCGCCGCCGACGTGCGAGATGGTCTTGTATCGGTGGAGGTGCCGGAACGGCACCTCGTGCGGCCGTTGCCACTCGCCAGCCTCCGTCGCCAGTGTTGCTGTGTCCGTGCTAGGGATCTTGGAGGAGTCGTGGGATGAACCCTTGTGGTGCTTCTTCTTCACGACGGCCTTGTGCCATTTCTTCAGGGCCTTGGCTGTCTGCTCGTCGAAAATTGTTCTCTTCATTTGTGAACCCATCTGGAAAACAAACCAATTCCATGTTAGTCTTCCAAAAGACAATCGCATTTTGCAAAACGCAGTACTAGCTCAATGAGTTTGGCAGCTCGTCTGAGTTCTGAATGCTACTTCGGAGTGAAGTAATTCAGTCTGTCTTCTGACGAAAACATCTGTAAGAAATGTAAATGTATGTTCACCTGAGACACAAGGGCATAGAGTGGAAGGGTGATATAGCTGCACATAAATTGGACGATAGCCCTGTAAAACAAAGAACGAAAATGGTTAATAAGGAGTAAAATTTCTGAACAATGACAGCAAAAGTAGCTGAAACTAACCCAAGGCAGACTCTTGCAATGATAAGCTCAAAGTTGTCATGGAAGCAGGACCTCAGGCCAAATTCGTACTGCACAGATGTTTGTCATCAGCAAAGACTTGGCACAGACTACAATTGTGCCACAGAAAATGTTTCCAAATCTCAAAAGCAATCTTACCCAGATCCAAAAGAAATATGTAATTTCAAATGCATTCTGCAAAAACAAATTAAAGAACAGCTGTTATATAAAATCAATTATGGTGATGTTTAAATTCAGGAGTAAAGTTTAGGGATGTCATATCGGATGTCACGTCGGGGTGTCACACGGGAGTGTTTGAATAGTAATAATAAAATAAATTACAGAAGTCCTCAGTAATCCGCGAGACGAATTTATTAAGCCTAATTAATCCGTCATTAGCACACGTTACTGTAGCACCACATTGTCAAATCGTGGATTAATTAGGCTTAAAAAATTTGTCTCGCAAATTAGTCGCAATCTGTGCAATTAGTTATTTTTTAGGCTATATTTAATACTCCATGCATGTGTCCAAACATCCGATGTGATAGGGAGTAAATTTTAGGGGGGAACTAAACAAGGCCATGTCAAAGTGCATACAGAAGATGCAGGCAAAAATCATTATATGCCAAATGAAATATTCTCTGCTTATCTCATTATGTTCTTTTTTTGGCGAGGCATTATGTTCTTTTCTGGCAACTATTTGAGTTCAAGTTTAGTTTAATACTGCTGTCTAGATGCTAATTCTTTGTAATTAATCATCATCTGATAAACGCACCCAACTCAAGGTTCAAAGTTCCATCCATAAGTTTCTATGGATGCTTTACGTTCAAGTTAGCATGCTTCTTGCTAAGGTACCTTTCTGGGCCTTTACTGACCTGAAATGATGCGAAATGGATGAGGTGGAGAACCAAACGAGGCTTCCCGAACCAGAAATGATCATCACTCAGTTTTACCACCGGCATGCCTTGAATAACTGTATGCCGCTCTGCAATTTCAATAGCCATCATAGCAATTATAGCCTGCAGCTTTGTCCCAACTGCTAGAATCACCTACATATAGGAAAGCACTGTCAGCACTTAGCACCAACCAAACAAAACCTTTACCAAAAAGGGATAAGAAATAAACACTATAAACACTTACTACAAGGGGAACCGTAGAGAACCAGAATAAGTTGTGCCATCCTGGACGAAGCAAAATCCAAATCAAAAGAAATTAGTACCATGTCTGCCAAATCACGCATAAGCAATAACCAAATGGCTGAACATTTGGAGTGTAAGCTCTAATTTCTGTGTGATCTGATAGTTCAGTTTGACAGGAGAATGCTCATAATAGTTTTCTGGAAGATGATGGTCGGGAAATAAGATTAAGATTATATAACTCACCATGAACATTGAAGAGCATGACAGCCAAAGCAGAAGCCCATAACGGTGGACTGATAAATTAATTGATGATACAAATGGGTAAATAATTATTAGGAAGATGAAACAAGAAATAATAACGAAACAAGCAGACCATTACTTGAGTAAAACTACGTGTTATAACTGCATATTCATTTTTCAAAAACAAAAGCTGAATATTCAAATCATAATTTTATCAAAGAACAAAAATAAAGAAACTATACAAATCAAATTCTTAGACAAAAGCATATTTGCAATTAGTATACTCATCTATCGATTAAGACACTTAGAAATGCCTGGATTTTTCTAATTTCGACAGTTTGCATTAAAAAAGTATAGTAAATTGTCAACATTTCTTACCTAATGCCCACAACTGTCTTGAAATCATCCTCCAAGGACCTTTTGATGTACTTTCGAAAATTGAACCTAGTTCCCGGAGATAAATGAGCCTATAAAATGATTTTTCAGCAACCTAAAATGGTAGCAGGAGATTACTCATGAATCAGAAATTACTTACAGAAATGAATCCGTGTCGCAAAGTAAGGTAGTCTGTCCTCCGAACGGATCTGAAGAACTGCCTAAAGAAGCTCACCTACAGTTTTATATCAGTGTAAGCATACAGCAATGGGCCCTGAAGTCAGTAGGTTCATTTATAGGTTCCATGTGCACAGAACATCATTAGAAGAAGCATTAAAGTTTAGTTCGATCACTTTATCACTGGTCGATAATCATTTTGTTAATAAATTTTTGCTGTAAAATTCTGGAGACCTTTTGGGTCCCTTACTCCCTTGTTCAGTAATTTATACATGAAATAAACAATATGTTCAAGACTTCAAGTGTAGAGTACAAACCCTTCATATCCAATATTTAGTTACCTCTATACAAAATATTTTGTGTGTGTGTGTTTTTGAAGGTCAACGGGGGTGGGGGTAGGAGGGGGGGCATAATCCCCACCTGATTTGTTATTTCTTGGCCCAAAACGGCGTGCTAGATCGTTTTACATGTTTGAATTTTGTACAAGACACCACTCAGATGGTGTGTGTTAAGTGTTAACTGAGAAGTATTACATAGTCTACGAAACTTATTGTAGCCACAGAAAGGTGTGATGAAATGACTTACAAAATAGAGCGTGATTGTGCTTTTGCTCCAACAGCTTGCATGTTGCCTCACAAAAGATGTTTGGTGCGTAAGCCTGAACTTTGAGGGGTCTGCATAAGTTAAATATGACATAAAGTTGCAAATTAGTGGACAAACCAAAACAGCTTGATACTAGTAAACAAATAAATATCAAACCAACTATGCATAACTTAATGATTTTAGCAACTGTATGTTATATATTTTTACATAAAAGCATACTAAAAAAAGTAGCCAGTCAAAACATACAGTACCATTT